CGGAGCCGGGCGGCAGTGCGGGCTCTGCGGGTCACCAGCTCTGCCCCGGGTAAGAGCTGCCCCGGGGCCTTTCCCTCGCCGAGTCCCGGCAGGACCTGGGGGCTGCGGGCCTCGAAGCTTTTCGCCGCCAGGCCTGTACACGCCGGGTCCGTTCAGCCTGCGCCGGGCAGGTTTGACATCGAGCCTTCTGGTTGTATTTCCCGAACCGTCGAGGAAGTGTGTGAGCATCCCAGTGCTCTTCCCTCCGGGGTAAGGAAAAGTAGCTGTTCTGAAACGCAGAGTGAGTGAGGGTAGGATTCGTTTAGGTTCTTGCGAAATGCCCTCTGTTTCAGCGTTTGAAATTAAACATGGGAAGTACGGAAAGCAGGCGGAGAACAAAATCTCAACTGTGATAATTTCTTTTTTTTTCTTCCCCTGACCAATAGAGCCGTTATGATCTGTGCTGCTTTCCTTGTTTAACATTATATTACAAGTATTTATACTCGTTACTTTATTTATTTACAGTAAATTTCAGCCAGCTTCATTAAAAATAGTGCAGTTTTACTCTGAGGAAACTAAATTGTATGCCTTATTCTAAGAGAACTAAAAAAACAGCTGTTGGCAAAAGGCTAGATATTCATGGTTAACAGTGGGGTAAGTTTGGAGAACCATGAAGCAGAAACACATTGGGCAGCAATGAGGCTCTGTCTGCCCTTCTCCGTGTGGCTTGGCTGTTCCTCTGAGCCTAGCTAGGCAACCACTCCAAACATGCCCATGCAGCGTGGCGCTTGGAGGCAGGGTTCGTTAGCTGACTTGAGGCAGCAGCCTGCTAACAGGGCTGCTCTGTTTCACAGTCTGAACTGGTATAGCAGAATAGGGCTGCCACATATGCAAGCCTCTAGTGTGGCCAGAGAGGTTGTGCACTGTACACACAATAAAGATCAGCTGTAGGCAAGAGTAGTGGGCTGAGCTCAGCAAAAGTAGTTCTGGATAAAACTGAATTATCACAAAATGTTAGTTAAATTAGTGCATGTTCATTATTCTGTGACAGAGAGAGGGAGAAGAAGAGAGAGAGAAGGCAAGGAAGAAAGAGCGAGAGAAAGAATTGTCTCAGAATTTGCTACTCAGCCTCTGCTAATTCCAGACTTCAATGTGCAGAAGGCAAGGAAAATAGGAACACGAGGGATAGGATTTATAGCTGAGCTCAAATTTCATTAAAGGATGGACTCCCCCCAGAAAGATTCTGAATATGATTATATAATTAGTAATGAAGCTGTCTGTTCATCGCATTGTTTGTTTCACCACTGTTCATACATAGTTGCACAATAGTGAATAAAGAGAAATAAATTATGTTTGTCAAAAAAACACTTTCTCTTAGCTTTAAAGCATTGTCAAAGATATTGTCAGTAACTTGTAGATGAATATTGAGGGAGGAAAAAATAGTTGTTGATAGAAATAGCATTACAAACATATTTACTGCTGATCAGTTGCTGCTTGTTTTAAGGTCTGTATTTTTGTTCTTTTATTCCTCTCTCCAGGATTTGGAATGCTTTGACTGATAATTATGGTAATGTAATGCCAGTTGACTGGAAATCTTCCCACACCAGAGCTTTGCACTTGCCAACACTAAATCTTTCTGAAAAAGGGGTAAGTTCTGATCAGCAGAAATACCTTCTTTGGATCTTTTGTTCTCAGCAGATTACATTTGTATAAAAGAGTGTTGTTATTAAATCTGTTAAAGTATTTTTAGTGCTTGACATTCTACATGAGAGATTTTAAAACATAAAATAAACAACCATTGCTGTATGTTGGTGTCTCTGCGTGTTGGCGTAATTTGGGGTTAGTCTTAGGTAGATGTTCATTAGAGCTAGTAAGTGATATAAGAAATGGTAAAATGAGGAAGTTTTTCGCATAAAATCTTTCTCACATTGAACACTGTACTGGGTTAGGGAGGAATAGAGGTGGGAGTACTCTCATTTAGTAAATGTAGTGTGGACTTTTTTTATTTCATCTCATTCTGCTGTCAAGTAGAGACTAAACTGGCTTCTTTTACAGGAAAAGTGACTCAGGAGATAGTGAAGTGTGAGCTTCGTTTGGTTTGTTTTTCATATTTAACAAGTATAACAGTTGTCTGGGGATGGAGCAGGGAATGAAGAACTTCACAGAGGTTTATAGAGAGGGTTGTCCTCTGATCTTCTTAAAAGTGGATTAAAACGCTTCAGGAAGAAATGCTAGGAAGTATTCCCGACTCCCAGGTCTTCTGAGGAAACAAGTGGCTTATCTTTTAAACATAGTGAAGTTGAGTTGTGTTGTAAAAATATCTCTGTGTGTAACCTGAGAATAGGGTAATGCTTTGACTTCTGCCATCCGTTATGTAATCAATGCACGGCTACTTTTTACTGTGACATGAACAAAGATTGCTCTGCTGAAGAGGATACATTGGGGTTCAGCAGAGCAAGATGACAATTTGGAACTCTCTTTCTCAATTTGAGTCTGATGATCATCTGTTGAATTTGACTTGTGTTTATTCTACTTTTTATTAGAGTGAGCGTTCAGATTTAGTGGGTTTTGGGTAGTTAAATCTTTATATTTAAAGTAAAAAGACTTACAACTCCACATGCTGCAACCTTGTTGTGTGACTGAAATATGAACTAGAAGACTGATGGATTTCTTGATAAGGAACTAGGTACAACATAAAAAAATGTTTCATATAGTTTTTGTAAGTTGTTTGCAGGAAGTTATGAAAGAACTGCATAAAAATATATAGTGGTGTTGCTGTTTTAGAAGGAATCTTAGCTATGCTGCCAGTAAAGGGAAAATCAGTTTATGGGTTAAACATATATCAAGATTTTTCAGCTTTCACTCCACCTGGCATGCCTTTTTATGTGTAAAGCCCATCTGTTTGGAAGCATTTGACATACTTTTTTTTTTTTTCCCTACTTATCTGTGTTTCAGCAGTATTTCTGGATATGTGGCAGCACATATGGACCAGCTAGTAGCTTCTTTTAACTTTCTTACAACGAATGCTAACAGCTAAGCAACACTTCTTTGATGCATTTGAAACTACTAATATGCTGTTGAACTTGTGCTTAAAGCATTTCTGTTCCTGGTTTAGTAGGGACGAAAATGTAGGGCGAATAAAGCTGATTCCTCTCATCTTTGTTGCTTCACATCACAGGTCTGTGCACTTTTATAGGGCTCTGACAGTGAAAGAAGTAGTTGGGTAGAAGTGTTGTACAGTGGTCCAAGGAACAGGATTGCAAAATTGCATGTTTATTTTATTTTTGTTAGATTACTTCTGAATGGGTCACTCCCTGGTAGAAATGTGAGGACAGAAATGGGCATGGAGTGTGCTGGGTGGAAGGCCTGGTGCTCCTTCTGGCATCAGCTGTAGCTTGGCCTGGTTTAGGAGGTTTATCTGGCAGCCTAAATCATCAAAATACATTTTGATAGTCTTTCAAAACGTTTCTGGAGATGTCAGGAAGGAAAGTTGACCTCCTTCTAGATCAACTGTTGTTATCTAGCTGTTGTTGTCATAGTTGCAGTCATAATCCTATATACATGGAAAAATATTTGAGGACTGTAGGTGTTGAAGAATGTCAAAACTGTGGTGTATCAGTGCAGTAGATGAACAGATGTTCTTAATGTAGCCCTGCCCCTGCATGCTTATGGGAATTCAGAGACTGGAAAAAAAAAATGGAAATTTGACTTCATTCTGGTGGCTGAAGAAATACAAATTGTATGTTTTCCCCTTTAGATTAGGTATCTGGAGATATCGGTGCCATCTTCACAATGACTCTGAAAACTAGTAGGGTTTCTGAAGAAACTGGGAAAATTGGAGGAATTATAACAAAAATTTAAAAATTATAGAGACCAAGGACTTGACACAGCTAGTCATAATGCTTGTAAATTAGCTTAAAGATTGTTTAAAGCAATTGAGCTCAAAATGTCAAAGGTTAAGGGTTGCAGTTTTGGGAGGCTGAGGGGCTTTTCTAGTCACTCTGTGAGAATAAAACATACCTGGCTGATCAAGGAGGAGACTTAAATTTTATTCCTTTGCTATATGCACATTTTGGTTTTGAAGGATGAGTGTAATTTGATGGTGTACGTGTGGGAGCAGCATTACTTATGTTTCTTTTTGAAAAGACCCTGAGATGTTTGATATATTTTTAAAATAATCTGGGGTGATAACTGTTTTTGTTTTGTTTTGTTCCAAAAAAACCCAACTTTTTCCATGTCTTTTGTTATGTGAAAAAGTAGAACTATAGAAACACATAGAACAAGAGGTTTGTGTAATATTAGAGATTATAGGTGGGGTTTCATCCGACACTGACAATTGTCTTTCTTCTTTTAAGATAGAAATGTCTGCATTGGATTGACTGCCTTCCATGCAGATATGTGCACATCATTGTGTATATGGTCTTTATATGCTGAGGGTATTTAAAGTCTTTAAAGACTGACTACTATTTTAACTTTCTCTAAATGCAGTTTTGATTTTAGTTAAGGCACTTCATTTTCCAGGTATTTGACAGCAAGAATCATTGATGCCATTATTATGGGCAGGGAATCTGTTTCATAAGATTCACTATTAGCTCCCAGGGGTTTTTTTTATATATGTACATGGATTTTATATACACACACAAATGTATATATATTTACATAAATACACATTTTGGTGCTTTCTAGGTAAACAATAACTTGAACCTTGACCTGTCAGACGATGAAGAGCTGAGAGAACAGTTGGATATGCATTCTATCATTGTTTCGTGCATCAATGATGAACCACTTTTCACAGCAGAACAGGTAAAGTGTTCAGCAAAGACAGTTTTGTTGGTGTAGTATTTTCTTTCAGTATGTAATTCTTTTTTGTTCTTCTTCCTTGCTGCTCACTGTAGCTAAGCTTCTTGATTATTTTTTATTTAGGGTCATAATATTTTGTGGTATTTCATCATTCCGATTCGAAAAGTATTCTAAATGCTTCAGGTGAGGTTGATATTCAGGTTTTTTGAAATCTTTATACATTTCTTACCATGACTTAGAAATACTACATCTGTTAAGAAGCAAAAATGCTTTTAGAATGTCAGTGGTATTGTAGAGTTTGTAGTTTTCCAGCATGACTGTGTAGGCATTCATAGCTTCACGTGGCTTTGTGGTTAGTGAAAATTCTTTGAAGTTTTGGCCTAATATGAGAGCAGATCAACAGTTCTGCTACTAAGCTTTCAGATTATTTAGTGTTCAAAGGTTTCTGTTCCAAATCCAAGGATTTACTTCATTTTTATCTTGAAAATTGCTCTTCTGTGTAAGGTTAATGACTGTCCAGTAAGATCCAGTAAGCAAATATAAGAATATATTTTCTTGTTGTTCAAATGGTTACCTGTGAACTCTGATGGACATGGTTATTAAGAGTACAAGAGACAGGATTGCTTGAACTGCCTCAGCTCTTCTTTACTGTGAGGTGGATCTTGGCACTGTCTGTAGCCTTTAAACCTGTAAAAGTTGATGTGCTGTGCAGCTGTTCAGTTAATAATTTAGCCTGTAAAATATGGTAATTTTTATACTGCAAAGTAAGCTCTCTGTTCTCATACTTTCTGTCTCAGTCGGGTCTTATGCTCAGGGATGCAAATCAGCTTGAGGTGATGATGGATCAGTTCATAAAACTTTTCATAAACACAGCAGATTTTTCAGGTTATTTGGAGATTTGTTTGTTCATTTGTTTAATCAAGTGTGGTGAAATGGGGGGTGGAGAGGTAAATGATTGTTGTTGTTTTGTTGTCCTTCAACTGAATACTTAGGAATTCATATATTCCAGGTCACTCTTTAGTTTAGTTCTCTTAAGCGGAACCATGTGTACCTTCATATAGAAATAACTGTTCAGTTTCAACACACTTCTTGTTGCGAGATCACCAGTTTACTTTGAAAAGGTAGGCTTATTCCCAGAGAACAAGGACGGGAAGAAAATACCAATATGTCTTTGTTGGTTCTCTTCCATCTAGCCATGGTGTTAGTTTTCTCCAACAGCATCTTCACTAATTGAAAGTAAAAAAACCCTTAAACTCTTTAACAGCTTTGCTTCAAATTGCAGGCGGTTTCTCTTCATGCAGGAGGGTTTTCATTAGGGTTTTCATTATTTGAAGGTGATTGAAGAAATAGAGGAAATGATGCAGGAATCACCTGATCCAGAGGATGATGAAACACCCACCCAATCAGATCGGCTCTCCATACTTTCCCAGGAAATTCAGACACTCAAGAGATCCAGTACGAACAACAGCTATGAAGAGAGTAAGTGGTACTTATTTAGTGTTTTGCTCTTATGATTACTGAATATAGTTTAAATGGTAAGTTTGCCATGCGTTTGTTTTATAGCAAGTCCTTCTTATGAAATACCTGCATTCAAAAATGTTTTCAAATTGCCCTGAAAGACTAACCTAGATTTAGAACGTAAATAGAAGACTTATCTTTGTCAGCTTTCATAACTTAGAATAAAAATAAAACTTTATGGAATTTCAATTAAAGCAAATATGCTGAAGCTTGATTGACTGGAAGGAGGTCCCATTCCTCAATAGGTGAAGTAGTCAGTCATTTTTTGTTGAACTTTGAGACTTTTTCTTGGGGCCAGTACACTGCATATAAGAAGATTAGCTAAAACTCAGGAGAGCTATGCAGTAAATAAAGAAAATGGTGTTTCTTTGTTACTGTTTCAGTCATTGCAGCGTATCTTGATATGCACTACACAAAAATAAGGCAACAGTTGCCTTTTTTTTTTCCTCATAAGAACCTTGCATATTTTTGTCCTCACATTTCTCTTCAGAAAGTGTAAAATAAAAAAAAAAAAACCACAACAAAAAAAAAAAAAACCCAAACCCAACACTTTGTTTTACCTTCTATTCAAGTGAAATAATCTGTTCCTCCCTATACAAAAGGAAAGGAGAAATTACATGTATAGTTTAATTGTAGTAGGTTGAATTGTATGTAAAAGAAACTTCTGATTGAGTTTCATGATTGGAATTTATTTCATTTGCATATTTGTCAAAATCAGTTCTAGAAGGTGATAGGAACACAAGGAATATTTGCTAGATGATCCTTCTACCTTTCCTACCTTGGTCACTTTTACAAAGTTTGGTGCTTTCTTTCCAGTAGTCTGGGTCAGCAATATACATTCTGTAGAAGATTCAGAAAAATGGCTGACCTTTTGTGACATGACTTACAGTTTCTGGTGCACTTCAGATTTATGGAGGAGATCCCATTTTCATGGTTGGACTCTAAGCTGTCTCAACACATAAATTTCAGGAATGTGAATACAAAGTATATCCTACTCAGCAGGGCTTCCTGCTTTTCTGACAGTTCCATATGTCCTTAGGTTTCGAGTTAATCAAGCTTGCTTGATATTTCATATCATATTTATTTTGCTTTGCCTCAGGAGTTCATCTTGTCTGTTGCATTTTTATGGTTTAAAGGTCAGTCTTGACAAACAGCCTTGAGTTACTTTGGTAGATAATTTAACTTTGCTTCACCAGTTTCTCACGTCTTGCAGGTCGCTACTTTGTGAAAAGCTCTTGCTACCTTTTCTGTATGCAAAGTTGCTTCAGAATTAGTCTGCACCTCTCTGAAATTGCTGCAGTTTTCCTAGAAAGTGTGTCTCTTATCAGAGGTGTTAATGTTTATTATTGAGAGCAGGAAATCAAAGCTTGTATTTATTTTTTCTTGGATAGGAAAAGACATGTATTAAGACCGTCCAAAAATAACACTAGTTACAGCTCTATTTACACAGGTGAGTTCTTTAGCCTAAATAGCTAAGATTTAATCCAGGTAGTCTTCTGTATTTGAATTACACTGTCTTCACTCACCTGCATCAGCTGAGTAGTTCCTGTGTAGACCTTCTGCAGGCTTTGAGAGCAACAACTGATCCACCATAAATGAGTCTGGATTGCAATTGGGTAATCTGCACCTGTGTCTTTGGAACAATTGTTTCTTGGGTGTGAAGTATTAGAAGTTTAGGGCTTCCTTCTACTTACTTAATTACAACATACAATCATAGAATAGTTTGGGTTGGAAGGGACCTTCAAAGGTCATCTAGTCCAGCCCCCCTGCAGTGAGCAGGGACATCTTCATCTGCCTTCATATTTGCAGATTATCACAGATTTCTCAGAAATAAGAAGCAAGTTTAACCATGTTCTTGTTGCTAGTCTAGTTACCTTCTGAAGTGTTTATTCCTTTACAAATGTTGTTTTGTTCTGTGTAGGTTTAGAATTGAATTTTTGGTTTTGAAAAATTTCAGAGTAGATTTTTCTTGTAATTTTCATAAGTATTCTCATGCTTAAAATCTTGACAGATTACTTTTTATATGAACTATTTATAGGAGTAAAAAGATTGTCTGTCACTGAGTTAAATGAGCTGCTAGAAGAAATTGAGACTGCTATTAAGGATTATTCCGAGGAACTGGTGCAGCAATTGGCTTTACGAGATGAGTTGGAGTTTGAGAAGGAAGTGAAAAACAGCTTCATTTCTGTCCTCATCGAAGTACAAAACAAACAGAGAGAACACAAAGAAACAGCGAAGAAGAAAAAGAAGCTGAAAAATGGTAGTCCTCAGAATGGCAAACAAGAAAGAGGTCATATGCCTGGAACAGTAAGAAAAATTTTGTAACTATTTATATATTTTAAATGTTTTTTGGGTTTTGATTTTTTGTTGAGATTTTTTCCTATGGGAAGTAGTAGTCCTAGATTATATCAGGATACCTGCTTCCATGCCTTCATTTGCAGACAAGGCTTAAGCACTTCCTACTGAGATTATTATTTTTTTGTTTCCATAAGGTCATACAACATTTTATTCTTCTCATACTCAAAACTTTAATTATTTGCAAATTAGCCTGGAATTAACATACCTTTCTTTCAAAAAATACTGTCTTTGGATGTACTGCTGTGTGTTCTATTGTCAGTAGGCAAACACATTTATCTGTTTGGTTTCACTGTGTGAATTTTAGTGTCTATGTACCACTGATAGCCTTGCAGGAAATTCAGTGTTATTGTTGGTGTAGCTGTACGGATACTTATTGATCATGTTAGGTAGGAAAAATGAAAAGTGTTACCCTGAATCTCTTGAAACCTGTGGCAGAGTTACTGTGTACAATGAGAGTAAGGGCTGAGGCCGAAGTATAGTGCAGGAGTAGAGAGAGAAGATAATTTGGTTTATTCTTTGCAAAACATAGCAACAAAAGGAAAAATGTCTTTAAAATAGAGTTTGGATAATAGGAGGCAGCGAATGAAAGAAATTAGGTTGTTATCTTGTCGATGCAGTATTTTCTTTCTTAGCTGTCTAGTATATTTTTAAGTTACTTTAGTGGATATTAATGCTAGAATTTCTGCAGAAAATGTAGTTAGTGTATTGTAGATCTTTGCTAAGTCCTGGAAAGAATGCTTCAGTTTGACATCAGAAGGGCTTAGGGTTTGTTTTTCAAACATAAGGAATAAACATTTGTAATGAAACATTAATGCTTCAGAATCTATTTCTAAAGTTACAAGGGTAAGATTCCCATGATATAACCCAAATGGAGTTCTGATCTTGTCTATCTGATGAAAAGTGCTTGTGTACCTAGCAGAGTTATAATTGAACTCTGAGAAAGTATATGTCCGGAAAACAATACGAAATTGTCATCCCTCTGTAAGAGCAGAGTGGAAAGTTCAAATGTACTCCTTTTTGGTTCTTAGTTATGGAAAACCAAGAAGTGGCATTCTAAGTAGAGAGAAAAACAATTACTTGGTTTTGAAACTTGAGTCAAGTGATTCATAAGCTATTCTGGTTAGTTTCAAGTTTAGAAACTTGAATGATGCTTTCAAGTATAATTGCATGTGGTCCCAATATAAAACATTTTCATGTTTGGTTGCTTCAAGATATAGATGAATCAGATTGCTTTCTGAAGGAAATTGAACACACTAGCTCCCAAGTGAGAATGTAGGGTGTGTGTGTGGTTCCTTTGAAAATAGCTTTCACTGTCGCCAAGTACAGATTTGATAGCCTTCTCCCAGGAGTTGGAAGCTTCCGTCTTTCAACACTCGTGGTT